ATGAGTAGACTCAAATGATAGTGTCAAAACAACATACCAGAACCAATGGGCCACAGTGAGAACAGTACTAAGAGGGACATTTCTAGATGTGAATGCTCACACTAAAAAAACAGAGAGAGAGATCAAATAAATAACCTACTGATGCACTGTAAGTAACTAGAAGAACAAGATCAGTTCAATCACTGCTTAAGAACAGGAAATTCATAAAATCAGAGCCAAAAATAATGTAATTGAAACTAAAAGAGAATAAAAAGAATCAATGAGTTGAAGAGCTGGTTCTTTGAAAAAAAATGAGACAAACCCTTAGGCAAACTTAACAAAAGAAAGAGGGAAAAGAACCATATCAATGCAATTAGAAATGAAAACATGAAATTACAACAGATACTATGGAAAGCCGAAGATCATTAGTAACCACTATGAAAAATTGTAGACCAATAGATTGGAAAATCTTGAAGAAATGGATGGATGCTTAGATTCATATGAATTACTAAAACTAAACCAAGGAAACATAAAACTTCTGAACAATCCAATATTAAGCAAAGACATTGAGGCAGTAATAAAGAGATCTACCAACTAAGAATTGAATTGAAAGGCAAGAATATCTCCAATCTCATTTATGGAAGCCAGTATTATTCTAATTCCAAAACCAGATAAAGACATAATTACAAAACTAAACTACACTAAACTAAATAAAAGAACTAGTAGTCAATCTTTGTTAATGAACATGGACACATAAATCCTCAAAAAGATACTGGCTAACAATGGAACAAATAATAAAACAGACTATACATCATGATCAAGTACATCATGCCCAAGTAGGTTTAATCCTAGGGATGCAAGGATAGTTCAACATAGACAAATCAACAACTGTAATACACCACATAAAGAGAAGCAAGGACAAGAACTACATGATCTTATCAGTAGATGAGGAAAAAGCTTTTGACAAAATTCAACATCATTTGTGATTTAAAAAAACTCTGAAGAAAATAGATACAGAAGAACCTAAACTCAATCTGATAAAAGCCATTTATGACAAGCCAACAGCTAATCTCATATTAAATGGGGAAAAGCTAAAATCACAAAGAACCAAGATATCCACTTTCACCATTCTTACTCAACATAGTACATTAGCGAGAACAAAAAGGCAACAGAAAGATAGAAAAAGGATACATATAGGAAAGGAAGAAGTAAATTTATTATTTGCAATAACATAATCTTACACATAGAAAAACCCAAAAATCCACCAAAAGGTTCCTAGAAGTAATAACCAAATATATGGACACCAACAATGAACCCACCAAGACAGAATTGAGAGAAATATTACCATTCACAATAGCACCAAAAAAATTAAATACTTTGATATTAATGTAACCAGGGAAATGAAAACCATAGGATTCTTAAGGAGATCAAAGAAGACATTAGAAAATTGAAAGTTATCCCCTGTTTCTGGATATGCAAAATCAACATAGCTAAAATAACCATACTCCCAAATGGATATATAGAGTTTATGCAACCTCAATCAAAATACCTACATAATTCCTCACAGAAATAGAGAAAATAATCCTAAAATGTATATGGAATATAATATAATATCCTAATATAATGTCACTTTCATTAGTTGGAGGCAAATTTAAAAAGTCATACTTTGAACAGAAACAGAATCCTAACTGCAGAAGTCTAACCACAAGTCCTTCTATGTTAATTGGTTAGCAAGGGTTTTTTATTGATTTTTCAGTTGGCAATCTGTGAAACTATTTCCTGTATTGTATTTATTTACAAGACTGTTTGATGAGCTTTGTTGGTTAACGTGCCTTCTCTGCTTTATTTCAGTTTGAGGTTTGGATCTTACTTGTATTGTTTTGCTCAGCGGGAAAGATAAAAAATAACTTGCTTAAAAATTCCTGCTACTTCTTGTCAGGAAAACCATATAAAAACATGTGTTTGAATCAAGACAAATCATAGCCATCAGTGAAAAATCAGCTCAGAGGGTTTGATTCCCACAGATGGATTAGGAAATTATTTTTGTATAACCAGAAAAAACAATCATCACAATAATCTTATCTTATACCACATGCATCATATATATCATACATAAACAATCCTGTTCTGGGCACAAAACAATTAACATCTCAGGGTATTTTTAATCAAAGCCATAGTTTTATATGATGCATCTATATTACCATGCTGTGGTCCAATCTGTATATGTATTTCAATGATTCTAGGAGACTGATATCTGTATTCATATATTCTACATGGGGTTTAGTTTAGTGGAACCACAATGTCAATACATTTTCCTGTTTTACAAAGTTTTAGTTACTTTTTGGCAGGTCATCCTTAGTCTTTTATCATAGTTTTCTTCTACATAAAATTTACAGAGGTTGCTTTCCAACATATTTTTGGCCAGAGTGCTAACAAATCTTTTTGCTTACATTTTAGGATTACTAAAAATAGCTGACATTCAGTAAGGGCATCTCTGTATGCTAAAGACTTTAAGTATCATGATTTTCTTGTATTATTTAATGAGACAGGCTGTTGATAATATTTTCACTTTCCATCTGGGGAAATAAATGATATTTGCTGCTTTACTATAGGACTCACCAGTGTTAGCTAGAGCCAAAGCAAGAGATAATAGTTCTGGAGAACTGTTCCTGCCTTCTGCAGGAGTCCCAAAGTGACAGCTGCAGCTTCTAAGCATTACCATTTAATTTAAGCAATGTGAGTTTCTATGGCGGGGAGAAAAGAATGACTTGTTGACAGTATATCATTTTTTCATTATACTTTGGAGAGTAATTATAGGTTGCTACTCACATTTATAAACTAGTCCATGTGGTTTTAGGAAGAAAGAATTAAGACTGTACAAAATTATGTTTTTTAAATTCAAAATCAGGTTTTAAAATGTGACACTTAGGGCTTTTCCTAGGGTTTGGTGTAACAAACACATAAAGTGTATTAAAATGTAAAAACCATATACCTTTCAACCCTCAGCTGTCATTTATTTCATTTTGGTATAAGAGTAACTGTTGTTCTGACCATAATTGTATATATTTCCTTTAGTTGAACTCCAATTACAGTCTACTTTGATTCAGATTAATCCAAGATGGAAATTCCATTACACTAAGAATAAAATTTAATAGTCTAATACATGCCTGTAGTTTCAATGGCTAAAACTATGCGTTTATCTACTTTAAAACTCTTATGAGGATTAAAGTTAAAAAGCATCTTAATCAGACCTTTAGTGGAAAACACACATTACAAAATATGGGTGACTATGGTCTGTGTGATGCTTTGGTAGACATTTTCAACTCAGAAGTATCTACCAGGAGGAAAAAAAATATAATTTTGAGTATAAAATATTTTCTTCATTTTCAATTTTGTTTGTTTATTTTGAATGTTCTGTTGTTTAACAACAATGAGAATACAGTACTACACAGATAGGAGTGTGGTTTAGACTGAATAACAACATATAGTGTGCAAGAGAGCAGATAGTTAAGGTAAAATAACAAACATTTGGCTTTGAACATGTTTAACCAAATGACACACTGATAAGGAATAAATAGCTCCGACCACATGGCATCTTTCTGTATTTTAAGTAGGCCTTTAGTGGATTAAGGTATGAGTGTTCCTCTGAAATGAACTTCTCACTTCCTCTTTAGTGAAGAGAACCCTGGTCAGCTAAGCACCAGCAAGACAGAGAGAGAGAGAGAGAGAGAGAGAGAGAGAGAGAGAGACAGAGAGAGAGAGAGAGAGAGACAGAGAGAGACAGAGAGAGAGACAGAGAGAGAGACAGAGAGAGAGACAGAGAGAGAGACAGAGAGAGAGATAATTTTTTTCCCCATACAATCACTTAAAGATTGCATTGTAATTCTTAACCACTGTCTTTCTTCCAATGTTCTACCATTGTTAGCTGCTTTTTCTCAAAGAAATCTAAATATTGGTGTAGTAACTTTATACTATAGAAACAATTTATATTTTTCTTAGTTGTCTTTTTATGTAAAAAAGTCTTCCTTAATATATATACCATCTTTCTTTGAAACCAAGTGTCTTAATACAATTTATTTACAAATGACCTTTTGTTATTGTACAAATCTGTACTTTGATTTCTTATTGAATATCTTGAACTCAAATAGGATGAATCTGAGAAAATTCTAAATTACATTTGACTTTATAGAGTATAGTGCTTATCTCTAGTGAAATTTAAACTATAGGTTGAATTTGAGAAACATTTTATATCCTACATGCTATATCATGAACTCCTAGATTGTGGGTAGATACCCAGAACTAATATAGAACCTAGTAAATTAACTGATCTAGAAAAACTTCAGTGTAAGATATTGCTTTGGTCACAAGAGAACGGTTCCAGTAAACTACATTTCTTTATCTGCAAAATCCATGTTTTCTAGTAGAACCAATATATACTGATCAATCAATCAGTATGATTTTGTCTGTCTTAAGCATCTGACAAATCTGTGTCTAATGGTCATGCAAGCTTCATGGTTTTGATAAAATTGAGCAGATGTGGGATCATGACATGGGTCTTCTGGCTTACCAAGTCCAGCAAGAAAGGTGGGAGGAAAAGCTACTAAGGTCCCTTTTTGCTCATACAGACCCCACTTACCCTTTACTTTTGATGTAAAGCTGGGGCACAAGGGGCATGAAAAGTTGCCTGGACCTTCACATTGAATCTGTCTTCTACCTTTGGCCTCTTGCCAAGAGTAAAGGGATGGTCAACTTTTGGAGAAGAGGGCAAGCTTTCCACCTGCCTTTTCCTAGTTTAGGCAAAATTGAAAAGTACTTTGATTCAAACAGATGAATCCGATAAAACTTGAAATTGCCTCTGAAGGTAACTAAGTTATTGGTAAACATTTTGAATTCATAGAGGTTCATTTTGCCTTTGGTAAGATGATTATGCCTAGTTTAGAACCCATAAAAGCCAGAGCCAGTGAGACCGCTTTCTTTAAACCATGAGCTTCAAAAGAACTGTTTGTGCTTTCAGGACTTACGAGGGCTCTTCTGACACGGCAGCTGCTTCTTCCAGCTCCTGAGCCTGTTTGTACCATGGCAGCTTGGCCTCCACGGGGAGTTTCTCTGAGGATTAAGTACAGGCACACAGACGAGAAGACGTTAGGACCAGTCTAGGATTTTAGGGAAATTTCTGCTGTCCTCGCAGATCTTAGAATTGTACTAAACCCATAAGTTACTATGTTGATAATCGTAATTAATAAATTTTTAGGTAAATTGCTGCCTCTGGGGATGTTTTTAGCAAGAAAAGTGGAATTAGATTGCAAAAATGTTTAATAATACTAGTTCCTGTATACATGAGTCTTCTTTATGATATTGAATAACAAAGGAAAGTCTTTTTATTACAGAAGTCATAACTCCAAGATCACTAGCACAGTATGCATATACTCACCAAGGATCTCTCACACATCTTCAAATAAACACAAAATATAGTAAATTATATTTTGATGCTTTCATACTTTTTGCCTTTTGGCTAAGTGTGATCTATGCCACATAATTCATAACAAATTCTGTCACTTGGAGATTCACAAAACATTGTTTTATTTATCTCACTTATTTAATACCACACAAAGGCTCCCTGATAATTCAAATATCAGTGCAACTTAAAGTCTATAAATCTAAAATTGGACTTGTTTTACCTATTTATCTAGATTTGGCAAAACAACTCACAACAAGCTTTCCAACTGCTTCCTAGGTAAAAAATGTGGGGGAGAGAAAGAAATAGTTTCTAACTGTTCCTATAGAAGTAACTGCCAAGATCCTTATTCTGACATATTTATTTGGGTTGTTTATGGGCATATTTGCCTTTATAGTATGATCTAGTGAAGCTCTATCACCAGTGTTAACATATAATTGCAAAGATGAAAGAAATATGTCCATATATGCACACACCATAGAATTATACGGTATCATAATGATGTTTAGGGAAGCTTACTACTTAGTTGTCAAAATCCAGATTTTGTTCTTGATAGTGAGCCACAAACTCCTTTTTTTTTTCCCTCTGAAGAGGCTCAGTTAAGATAGATCTAAAAACTAATTGATTATTTTTATTTAGGAGCATCACTATTTGCCTTCTATATGTAGTTATTTTTTATAGTCAGAAAAAAAGTGAGTGACAATTATAAAATTGCCAAAGCCAAAATTTTTGCTATCATTTGAAAGACAGAAACATGGTGTTTGTACATGCCTCACTTTATATCTATCCCCCACCTATCCCAATTAAATAACTCAGTCAATAAAGCCATCTCTGACAGTGAGAGTTTGGCACCTGTCATATTTTACTGTTGAAATAAATATTGTCACCTCTACTTACAGTCACCTCTACCTACAGTCACCTCTAATATTTGAGGACACTGATGATAGTTAAGAGTTAAAAGTAACATTTGGGGAGAATTCACCATATACCAAATACCAGGTTAAGTACCCTAATTACATTAATATCTGCTCCAACCTTCACATGGTGCTGGGATAGATACTATTTTTCCCTCATTTTACAGATGAGAAAACAAAGACAGACAGACAGAGAGACAGAGGGTGAGAGACAGAGAGGGAGAGAAACAGAGATAGAGACAGAGACACAGAAAGAGATGGAGAGAAAGAGAAAGAGAGAGAGAGATTTATTAAAAGTAAGCAGGATTTCTGGTATGTTTTTGGATTTTGGTTTCCTTTCAAATCACTGTTCATGCTAATCTGAGCTAATCTTGCTCATCAAGTAGAACTTTTCTAAAATTTCTTTTTATAAGTTGTTTTCAGTATATACTAAATTGTGATATACTTCATGTTTTCATTTCAAAGTATGCTTCTGGAATTCAGTGTCATATTTATGTTTTAATTTTCAATATAAAGAGCAACGGTGGGCCAGGGTTTAACACAATAGCACAAGTGCCTGCCTGGCAAGTGCAAGGCTCTGAGCTTGATTCCTAGTACAAAACAAACAAACAAACAAACAAAGATAAAAAAGAATAGAAAAATAAATGGTTTTCTGTCTCATCAGTTTGAAGTGTGAGACTTCCTCTCAGGCTTAGCAAGCAGATAGATTCATTCCTTGTTTTCAACAGCAAGAAATGTAGATAGTAATTTACACAAAGATTTCTATATAATCTTGTCTGTTTCTAAAAAGACACATACAACATTTTTCAGCCATTGTATTCAAACCACTTTACGATGTGGGGGCTAATTGTACAGGGAGATTTTCCTATGGAGTATGTAATAAAAATTTGCAATCAAAACCATCTGAAATGTTCAAAAAGGGAATCAAGTCCACTTAGTAGAGTCTTAAATTACAAAGAATCACCACTAAGATTACTTGGGAGTATTCAAGGAGTTTAAATCAGCACCCGAACCCACACAACAATTAAGAGCCTGGTGAATTCTTCCTGTTAAGTTACCTTTGGGTTTGTAGCATGGAGTCGGTATGATGCATTCCTCTTTTATGTGGGGCTTTGTTTTCGGGCTGCAGCCTCCTGTGTGCATCCCTCGGTGGTCCATGCAGAGGACCACACGGTACCTGAGGCCCTGGCCACATGTCACTGTGCACTGGAAAGAGATTGGGAGAGAGGAGACTCACAGGAAAAGCCTTCGTTACTTCACTTCCCACCTACAATTATTTATATAAGGACTCCCGTTTATATGCGGACTCCTGACGGATTTGTACCACTTCTTACCAGTCATGGCATCTTTTTCTCTTTGGCTATTTGAGGTGAAGCTAGCTGAAAATTAAATCACTGTAAATATCTTAGGCTTGGATTAATCTGTCACCAATCCTGAAGCACCCATTGTGTAAAGTCTCAAATCAAGCACCAAAATAAGGAAAGAAGAACTAGAGTGTGCTCAAATTTAGTTCCCAACACTGTATTTTTAGTTAGTTTGCTAATGACTACAATGTCCAAAGCTATGGGAAATGCTCACTCACACATAAGTAATAACAGATTTTAAATTGCCATCATAGCTAGTTTATATGGCTGCATGGCCAACCCATCTAATTACACTGAAATTGAAAAAAAATAATAGAAACAGATTTAGGGGCCATATATACATAATAATATGCATAATACCTATAATGATTCTGGTACATGAAGACATCCTAGTTCTGATCTGTATTTTCAAGGCTACAGGGGCTCAATGAGCAGTCTTTTGCATTTTTGTGGATAAGGAGACAATGGTTTTACTTCTACGCCTTTATATGGTATGTGCCATTTCTCTCTACATTAGCAGCCAGGAAACCTAGAATAACATTTTATTTTTAGTTACAGCAGGTTTCCTAATATCTATTACTTTGGGTTTTAGTTATTCTACTTCACCTCATATTAATTATTTTATAGCTTTTATTTTTATCCCTTTCCCTTCAATGACTGATATGCATAGTTTTAATTTTAACCCACTCAGACCCTTTTTTGGATATAGACAGAGATAATAAAAAATGAAATCAAACTCTGATCTACTGAGTTCTGTCATCAAAAGTTTAATCATTTAGCTTTAACTATTGCAGAAAGGCAGCAGCCTATCAATAGAGTGGTGCAGTAGAGGCTCCTCTGAAGTAAAACAAAGAAAAGCATTTTTAAAAAGTCATTCACTTTCATCATGCTGGACTTGGGACATTCCTACTGCAGGAGCTACACTGGTAGTGGCTTCTAGACAAGTCAAGAGAAGGTTGGAGCTGCACAGGGTACCTGGTAGGCCATGATGGCAAGAGGGAGGAGTGGACTTACTCTCCTAATGAACAAAGAAAGAGGGCACAGTTACCGGAGACCACTCCTGTGCCAGCCATTTAGGGCAGTCAAAAATGTTGCAGGGCTGCACGATGGGCATCTTAGGGGTGTACATGCATTTCCACTCTTCCACTGAAGTGACATGCCCCTGGATGTCCTCCTCCACACAGGAAACTGCCCGGCTCTGGATGCCCCCCCCACACGAGGAGGAGCACGCGGTCCATGGGGTGGCCTCCCACCTACAGAAGCAAGGGGAGTCATCAGGGCAGACATGCACATTGTCAAACCTCTCAGTGAGCTGTCATACCAACCCCGTTCCCTGGGCCTACGGGGATCATCAGGTTCTCAGAGGCTACAGTTTAGAGAACCATAAAGTATTTATTGCCTGAAGTCTGATGAGGAAGGGAAAGGATTCAGTGTTGGCAAAAGTGCTTTATAACCTGTGAAGCTCTGCACAGACGTTAGAAATGGAAGTTTCTGGAGCTGTCTACAAGGATATCTGTGCTGCCTGGAATCTACACAAGAGGTGGCAGTTTAGGCTCAGTCCTTTCCCTCAGTTTCATACAGAAGTATTAAAATTTACTCATTATATCTCATTAAGTATCTTTGTCAAGACTAGAGTTGGAAGATCAGTTAACATTAATAGATTGTAACTGGTCAGATAGTTTTATTTCCAACTTCACATTTTATTACTTTACTTCAGGGCATTTTTCACAGGAGAAGCTCATAAAAGATGAGTGTAAACAAAAACCTTCTCCCTGTGCCTGCAGTTGTCAGCTTTGTGATTTCATGGATTCAGCACAATCCTGATGGTCAGACTGCGTCACCCCTGAGCAGAAATGTTAAAATAAGCACTAGTCACTTATTCTGACTGCTGGGGGTGGTGGTGGTAGAGTTCCTCCAGTAAGGGATTTCTGGAATTGTGAAGAGGCTTGTTTTGATTGAAAGGCTTATGGCATCTGAATCTAAAGATATAGTTAAGTAAGGCAGAAAATAACAATGTTGTTAACATGTAAGACAATTTGGTTGATACTTCAGAGCTCTATACTGATTGGATAAATTTGGGATCAAATATAGAGAGCTACCTTTGTCTAAGCATTTTCTCTCCTATAGATTTAGAGAATGTGGAATTTCTAAAAACCAAAGCATTGGGACTGAATGAGCTGAGTTTGTCATTCTTGCACACATTCTGGTTGCCAATGAGGATGACTAGGAAACAAAGATTTCTCTTAGAATTATGAGAGATAATTTTAATGAAAGGGGAAATTTCACTAAGGTGATCTGCTTGAAAAGTTACATTCAAAACTATTGCAGAGGCACCCCACAGAGACCCTAATTATTATGTAAGTAGGACTGCATGGATGTTGTGAATTTGATTTCTCTTCTGCATGAGTCAGAGTAATGATGTATGTTTCCCAGTTAAGAGGGTTTTCCTCTATATTCTCTCTGCATTGTTTAAGTTTAGGCAAAAATTCTTATCTTCACTGCCAACAGTCAAGATATGCTGCCAAAGATAATATTTTCTGATGTGTTTTCCCCAGGAGACACATAAGAAAATGTCATATGGGGAAACTGAGGCACTCTGTTTAGTCCTGAGGAGATTTTTTAAAAAAATCTGTTTCAAGAGAATGAAGTTGCTCTGTAGAAAGTTTCTCTTCCAAAAGGGCAAGACCAGTTCTCATTTGTCTCCATGAGACTCTTTGGAGAACTAACAGGCCTGTCAGATGGAAGCCAGCCTGAATATATAAGTACTGTTCGCACTGGATTTGATGGGATGATGAAGTAGAAATATGTTTTCTAATGCACATTTAATCTCTTAGAATATTAAGATGTCATTAAAGAACACATTTTCTAATTGGTACTCCAAAATCTCTGAACTTGACCCTCCTAAAGGGAAAATGATTAATTTCTGTCTCAACACTTGGACCTGACCATAGTGTAATTTTACAAAAAGAAGTAAGTATCCTTTTCAATGTCAGAAATCACAAAAAGACAAATGAGGTTAATATTATTTTAAAAAATCTATAGTATATTTCCAGCATACAAACATAATTTTGCACATGAAAGATTATGATGTGCATCCTCATATAGTAAAAGGGTTATATGAGAGTTAGGAAAAAATATATAGGCAAAGATCATGTGAGTTAGGAGACCTTAAAACAGCAACCAGGGTAGGCACTTGGAATAAAAAGAAGAAATACCCAAGAATCTTGTTTGGAATCTGGACTCTTGTCCAGGGAGAACATTAAGTGAATTTGTATACCATATATTTTAACTCCTTTTGGTTTCAATGTTTTAAACAAATAACACATTTAGTTTAAGAAATTAAAAAGGATGTACGGAGGTGGCATATATTAATTGTGAATCATGATCATTCATCAGACTATATTCTTGGTTCGGGTCATGTGTTAAGTCAAAGACTGAAAGTGGTAAAGCAGGAAAGAACAATCTTAAAATTCACTAATTGCGTGTTGTACCCATATTTGTGCTCTTAGTCCTACTTAAATATTTTAAGTAAGTAAAGCTTTATTCCTTGACTGTTGGGTACTTTCCATTTGAGAATCTTTTTTAATCCTTAGTCGTTTCTATGAAATAAAAGTGAATTTGTAGAAATCACTTCTACATACTTGAGCTTTATCAGTAAAGTAGAACTTCTATCTTTAGAACTAGCTTAGTAATAAAAGCAAAGGGTAAGTAGCATGTTTGGTTTATTTGATAGTTGTCCTTTCCCATTGTGATATGTGGAAATGCCAAATTGTACACACAGGACATGGCACAAACAGACATGAAGGAGGGTTATTTTAATATACCACAGGGTTTTAGGCATTTGGAGAGCATTTCATTCTATAAAAGATAATGTCTAACTTAAAACAGGCAGGCATTAGTTATGCCAGGAAAATATAAACAAGAGAAATCGTAGAGGCCATGAGATAAATGTAGGAGGTGCAGGAAAACAGACTTGATGCTGCTCATTCTTGGCACTCAGCTTAACCTTATTTATGGAATGTACTGCCTTCACACAAATATATGTATCCCAGGAGTACTTATTTTACAGATACCGAAATTGCAACAAAAGGAAATATTGGTTTAATTAAATTGATATTTGTTACTTTCATTAAATTATCAATGAGCAAAAGAGTTCTGCATCAAATCAGCAAAATCATACATAAGGAACTTTCAAAACTCACTTATAGTCTTTATCAAAATAGTCATAAGAAAGTGTCAGGGAGCTGATGAATGTGATTGCCATTCAGTAAAAGAATTTATCAGCAACTATGTTAGTATAAATGAAATATTTCTTTCTGTCATTATTAGAATGTGAAAATTGAGACTCCTATCAGTTGCTGGAAGCATGTAAGTAGGCACTGAATGACAACTTACACTCATGTATATACATTATATAAATCTTAAGAATGTGTACATCCATGCGTGGACAAATGCACATGAGTTAATATTTGTGTAATACACAGTTTACGTATTTGTACAGTGTGCAGGTGTGATTGTTGGGAAACGAATAGGAGGATCAAATAGCACTGAGGTGTTGGACTAAATGACCTTAAGGGATCTTATCTTGATACTAATTCATTAAGCACTTGGAGATCAAACTTTTCAAACTGTTTTATTTTGCAGTTTTGAATACAATTATTTTCCAGGGTTAGTTCAGTTCAGATTGAGCAAACTGCTATATATTATTTCACCTACTTAAAGTCTAATTGAAACTTTGATTCTAACTAGCAACTGACCTCTCCAAAGACCAAATAAATAAAGATAATAGAAAAAAATGAATTTAAACCTAATTCACTTTCTGCTATTTGTGGAACTATTTCAAACATGGTAGGCAGCAAGTGGCAGAGGCTAGTATATCCTTCAGCATGTCTAGTTTTCATATGACTATATTATAACAATAAAAATTCTTATGAGATTAAAAAAATTTCAATATTTTTTCAAGTTATTATATTTTAAAAGCAATGTAAGTGTGTTAAGTTTCTGAATAAATATATGAAAAAATTTGCATTTAATTATAATTTCTTCAAAGTAAAGAGGACATATAAAAGTCCTATGCAGACTAATACCACATCTGGAACTCCACATGTATGGTGTTGTGATAATATTTTAGGTAGTATTTGTTTAATAGTTAGCAACAGTGGTTTAATGACTAGAGTCCAATTGCAGAAGAAACAGAAAAGGACAAAGGGAATGAAAGACATAACCTAAACCCATACACTGTATCTAATCAGAGTGAATTACTGTGTCCACTCCAATGTAACATGATCCTGTTTAAAAAGGGTTTTGAATGACAAGCTTATAGTTTGAACAGGCCTGTAGTATGCTGCAAAAGTAGAGCTCAGAATGGAGCAAATCTACCATCTACCATCTTATTGTTATAGAAAAACACAAAATCTTTCTCGAGATATGTCTGTCTATATGTCTATATATATATATATAAAAGCATCAGAAGACTGATTTGCTAATTCTAACATCAGATGATTGATTTACGTACCGAGGAAGGGGATGGTAGAGGTCATAAGGCATGATCTGCTTGTATCCGTCACTGTTAGGAACAATAATGCCAACCCTCTGAGTAGAAGGTACATACAATAAAATAAACACTAAATGATTACATTATACAAAATTTTTATACAATTGCAAAACAACATTAATAAATCATCTCTGAAAAACAACACTAAAACAGTTCAATATCTTTATGCTCGTATATGCTCTAAAATGGGGAAAATTCTCTGAAAGGCCACCATTTACTGTAATTAATTCTCTGATCCAAACAGGAAATACCATTGGAAAGGGTGGTGGCAAGAAAACTTGGCACCTCATCATTAACTATGACACGATAAGCTTGTAAATGTTCTTTAATGCCCCAAATTATACGTCCTATGAGGTCATTATTATTATCATCATTATTAATGTTACTTCCAGATGCTTGCCAAGCAATCACAGTTACTGTCTCACTTTTGATGAAAGAGAAAGCTGTTTAAGCATGAATCTGTACCGTAGAATTGACAGTACTATGCAGCATGCATTAGCAAATAGGTTTCATCTCTTGGCAGATCTAAAGATTTTTTACTGTTACCTGGAAAGTAGCCACTTAGATATTTTATAAAAGGAGGGAGGAACTACCAAATATAGTAGGCAACTATCAGCAAAAGCAACTTCTCTATAAAAATAATTATGAAACATTTTCATAAATATGAAAAGGTTTTTTTTTTGCCTAAAACATGTTGTTTGTTGTTAATTGTTATATGATGGTGGATGTGATTGTTGTGACTGTATACCTGATGATATAGGCAATTCTTTTTAAGATAGCAAGAGGCATTATGGTAACCATTGTTGATCACCTTGTATTCTGTTTTTACATCATGTACTATGTCCATCCTTTTGTTTTGACTGACTCTGTTTTGTTTTATCACATTTGGTTTTATTCTCTTCAAAAAAAGTAATAAGAACTGTGGGAGTAATAAACCCAAAATGTGTAACTGTTATTGTAAAAAAGAGAGGAAAAGAAAGTGCTCTAAAGGATATAACTGCATGTATATTTAAGTGTGTAAGATAGATAACAATTTTACTAAGTTCTTGTTGGATCATTGAACAAAATTGTTTGCAATCTCACTATTTGAATGTCCACTTTGTATGCTTTAATTTTATAACTTGAACAACTATTTCTAAGATGACAATATGTAATCTATTAACTAGTTATTTCCTATTGTTTTGAAATTCTGTATTACTTGTACCCTTTTACTTTTTTTTTTTTCTTTAAATAAAATTTCAAAAAAAGAATTATCTAGTATCCTGGAAAATCTGTGACATTTAGGGATGGAGTGGAGGCTAAAGGAGCAACAAGAAATGACACTCTATGCTGCATGATTAGAGAATGCAGGATAAGTGGCATTATAGATTGTGTGAAAGTCCCTGGAGGTCTTTAAGATGCCAATTAACCTTTTCCACGGACTTCAACAAAAGCCTCCAACTGGTGAGCCTGGCACTTGTTGAGGCCGGGTCCATGCCATGTCACGGATTTGTGTCTTGTGCTTTTGGGTAAAAGAGTGGTGCAACAGTGGGGCATACAGAGAACGCAATCCAGGCCCAAAGCATGCAGGGTACACACAGATGCTTCTTATTTTGACAAATGACACATTGACAAATGCTATGGAGCCTTTCTTTTGAATACTGAAGGGACTTATATATTCTATCTGTATCCTTGGTTTAATCAAAGAGTATTTATTCTTCTTCTTTTTTTTTTTTTTTTTTTTGTCTTTTTCCTCTTTATCGGTACCGGGGATCGAACTCACGACTGCCAGCTTGCAAGGCAGGCGCTTATGCCGCTGAGCTAAATCCCCAGCCCCTCGAAGAGTATTTATTTATAAATCTATATAATAATGTCCATAAATTCAATATAAATATACCTACATATATAAAGACTTTCAGTTTGACTATATCTCCTGGTATAGGATGATTTCTATATGATAATAGCAAACCTAGCCATAGAGCATTTGTGTAGAAAGTGTAGGCTGGGAATATTATGGATTAGAAAGACAAAAAACAATCACACTGACTGGAGATCATGAAAGGTAAGGAAAACAGTGGGAGATAAAGAGGACTTCACAGGTTCTAAAGAAATTTCTGAAAAGTAAGGAAATATTTGAGAGAAACTGAATTGCTTTGATGCAAAATAGAAAACAAAATTGTGAAGACAGCTATTTATTTCCAGGAAGAAAAATCACTGGAGTACTAATATGTTTACTTAACTTTTTTTATGACTGAATATCTTATACTTAATTGTATAAGGAAATTTTCAGCTCTGTGTGTGTGTGTGTGTGTGTGTGTGTGTGTGTGTGTGTGTATGTTTGTGGATATCTGTGTGTGTTTTACTCTTATCTTACAATGTTCATAAAACTGAATACTGCCTTTGGAAATTCTCAAAATCCCATAGATCTTTAACCCAAAAATGAAATGAACATCAAGTTAAACTTGTGTTCCTGTTTTTACAATTAAATGTTCTATTTATTTCTACCTTCTGACAGACAAGTAATTGGATGAAAGCCTAAGCCTGCCTTTTGTTAGAATCTTGTGATCTTCTTGCAATATTGATTACATCTAGTAATTAAGGGAATCTGCTTTGTAAAAGCACTATATTTGAAAGAATGCCAACTTCCTAAAGTTCTTCCAATAACTTGGACCTACAATATTACCTAGTAATAGTCAATTATGGAGTAAATTAAATTGACTTTGAATTTATATTTTACCTGCCTTAGCATCTTTATTCATGCCCATCCATTTATAAATGTAAAACTGAAATTCACTGCCTTTTATTCTGAAAATATTTATGGCTATAATTTGTCATCTTTAATATTAAAACAGACTTTTGCAGATCTCCATCAGTTGATTTATCAGCTGATGATATTTAAACTAGAGACAGTAACATGGAAGGAGACAAGTTGAACCAAAGAAAGGGAATAAATGAGGGAGCACATAGCATTCAAGATGTTGGGCTTTGCTTTGGACTGATTTAGAAATAATGTTTTTGTTTGAAAAAGGAGCTTTAAACCTGGATTCAGCAAAACTATAGCTATATTTGTCTTTCATGGCACGGGTCATGGTGAAGACTCATAAACTGACTCTATGGCACCTGTAAAAACAGAAAGATATCAAAACAATGGTGCTCTGTCCAGCCCTACTAAGGCATACTTGTGTGCATGGGCTCTGTTCCCTCCTGGGGCTCATGCCATGGTCCGGGCCTTTCGTTACACCAGCCCAGAAGGGGAGGCAATCTTGCCCAAGCTTAATTCCCTATTGCTTACCTTTAAGACACTCTGTTTTTCTCTTGAATGAAGTGCACATCATGAAGAATGAAGAAAAAGATATAATTTAGAGACTTGAGTAAATTCTCCCCATGTGTAGGTCTTAATTTTTGGTGTGTGTGTTTAGATACATGCATTCAGACATGCATCTGAGTGTGTGGGAAGTGTGAAGGAGGAAAAAGGATTTTTAAAAGTGGTCACAAAGGGAAGATACAAGAGCTAGCTGGTCTTCAGGTGAAAATACCTTAAATATCCTAGCCACCTACATGCATTTTATACTCATCAGACATGATTCCACCTAAAACTCCTATGATCAGGGGTTTTGGTGGTAAGAAAAGAAGGTGAAGATGAGAAAATGAACATTCTGAAGTGATGTGGTGTGGAAATATACACCACCTCCTCCTCTCACGGTTCCACCTTACTTAACTCTACAGGGACAGGAGAGTGCTTCATTATTAGGGGAGTTTCATACAAGAAAATATTTTGAAGCACATATAAATAAAATTCTGAACCATTATTAATGAAATGGAAAAGTTCTCAAATGTAATGCTGATGAAAAATATTAAATACAACAAAGAATGTGCATTATTACTTGTAATATTAAGAAACTTTGTATGTGTATATATAAGCTAAAGAATCATGCAAATACATAGGTCACATGTGTATATATACTCTGCCATACATGCAGCTTGAAACATACCTAGCATCTAATACCTAATACCAGTAAAAAAAAAATACCTTACACTTACGTGTATATTTTTTGCTTTTTAAATATATATATTTTCTATTTTCTAAGTTTGTAAGTAATGCTTTACATTTAAAAATCATAGCAATTAGAATATTCAAATAGAAAATTTTCAAATAGAAAAACATTCAAGATAGTAACACTGAGAACTATGATATGAATGGATAAAACAAGGCCATCATCTCAAATTCCATGTGAATTAAAAATTGAGTCATTGGGCAGAAATGATCAAAGATGCTACTTTAGAACTTTAAAAAAATCCAGTTCAAATCAGGGTCATACCACTTCACTGAGGAATTCATATATTGTGATAAATCTCTCTCTATGAGAAAAATCCCAATTATCTAACTCCAAGGGCACATAATTTATGAGTGTGTTTTTATCATGGAAATGAACCATAAAGAGAGCTTTCAGTGACTGTGATTGTCGCCTGCCTCTTCTCCCGGGCTGCAGGCCCTCCTCACAGCTTCCGGACAGCTGCATGTGTTCTCAGCTTTTCCCGATCAGGATCAGGGTGCCCACCACGCATTATCTGCCCTTTCCATAGCACCCATCTCACTGCCTGGGGGCGCTGCCACTCTCCCACCCCCCTGTGTGCTTCGGGGCATCTTTGCTTCTTCTCTGTCCTGTGTGTCCTACAGGCATTCACGCTTCCAATCACCTTGGTTCTAGCAACGTTCTGCAAATGTATTCTCCCAAAAACTTTATGCTTTTGCCATTTTCCTAACACCTCACTGTCTGTAGGAAATCGCTTGTCTCAGCCAGCTTCCTCACTACTGTCCCAGAAACTTTTAAGTTACCCCAATTTAAAAGTCTTAAGGGGCTTCCTAATGCTCAGTGAAATTTCATATTCAAACACAGCCTTCCTTAAAGTATTATTTATTTTTTTTAACATCTAGTCGGAAAGTTTCCTCGCTCTAAATACCCAAACACTGGCTCTTGTCAGTACTTTAAGCTATGTTTTAACTATGTGCAAGTCTTTCATTAGTATAACAG